AATGCAATAACATGGAGCATCAATTTTGGGGAGTTGCACAAACACCGTTTCGCCGAAATTTACCTCCTATCTATGAGAATGGTTTCAACACACCAGTTGGATGGAATCCTGAAAAACTTTATTTTGGATTCAAGAAACCAAATCCGCGACTTGTTTCCATGAAGATCATCTCAACGGAAGAAATAACTCCACACTTTGGTTATACGGCTATGATGAAACAATGGGGACAATTTTTGGGTATTTGTAATCAATCAGTTCAGCTAAATTCTATCTAATTAATTAATTCAAAATTTGAATATTCAGCATACTTCTTCATTTTGCAGCACATGACATCGAGCAAACAGCGCCCGGCCTAGCACGCCAAACTTATATGAAGGGAGCAATATGTAATAAAACTTGCGAAAACTTGGATCCATGTTATAATGTCCCGATGCCTCCCGAGGATCCTCGTCTGCAGGGAGAGTGAGGTTTTTTTCAAGTAGACTGTCATGAATTCTCAGAATGAAAGTTTATTTAGAATAATAGTGTGAAAACTGAAGATTTATGAAAAAATTTGATCAAAATGCACATTGCTTTTCCAATTTTTAAAATAATAGTGCTATCTTCCATGTTTATTTTGAACTTCATTTTTCAAGTTTAGGAAAAAGCCGGAAATTACATGTATTGAGGTGGAGCGATCTAGTGCAACTTGTGGTTCCGGCCAAACCGGTCCAATTTATCGACAACTTACCTATCGTGAACAAATGAACATTGTGAGTTCTCTTTCACTTGCAGTCCGATGTGGAATAAATATGATCAGAAATATATAAAATTGTTCATATAAAAGATGTCCGTTATTTTCCCAATTACACAAACTGCCTAAAATATAGTTTTACTTACACATAAGCAAAGTTTTTATTGATTTTCTCCACGGCCGTTGATTTTCTTAAAAATTTGAATTTAAACATGTTTTTCAAGTTCTATTTTTTGAAGTTAACTGCCTTCATCGATGGATCTGGCATCTACGGAAGTGCAGAAGTAGACGCATTAAATTTACGTGATTTATTTGGTGATCATGGCTTGTTGAGATTTGACATTGTATCAGAAACTCAGAAGCCATATTTACCGTTTGAGCGCGAATCGTCCATGGAGTGTCGGCGTAATCATTCTCATGAAAATCCGATCAGTTGTTTTTTAGCCGGTGATTATCGAGCCAATGAACAGGTTGATATTTTAGATTTAGGGAGGACGAATTTGACAGCGGGGATGAAGAGGGACGAATTTGATTTATAATAATTTATAGAAGTTGTAAATAGTAATAGAAATAATCAGATGTTGGTAAACTTTGTGCTCCAGGATGCTTGATTTTCTTGTTTCTTATTGTTTGGAAACCTGAAACTTGAAAGAGGAAAAATTTAGAATAAAGAAAAAGTGAAAAATAATGTATTAAGCTTATCTGTAGATCACTGCTTCTATCAAATTCAGAAACCTATCTTTCGATTAAAAAACCTCCGAAATCCAGAAAAACTATTTCTTTAGTAAACACATCCTAGATTTAACTTCAAACATACAGACCAGGGTTTCTGAATAATTTCCTCATGTACAATACAACCTTCAGGGTTGCATTTTTTTTAATTATGGTAATTACAGCTAGCACTGCTTAGTATGCATACGTTATGGCTTCGAGAACACAATCGCATTGCAACGAAATTTCTAGAAATAAATCCACACTGGGATGGTGAAACTATATATCAAGAAACAAGGAAGCTCATTGGAGCTATGTTACAAGTTATTACCTATGAACACTGGTTGCCTAAAGTCCTTGGACCGGTCCGATTTTAACTTTTTAAATTAACAATACTCGATTCCGAAAAAAATATGAAGCAAAGTCTTCAAAACAGTTATCTTAGGATGGATACGCAGAACTTATTGGGCCATATAAAGGATATGATCCAGAAGTGAACCCTACCTTAGCTAATAGCTTCTCGGCGGCTGCTTTTCGATTTGGACATACACTTGTTAATCCAATTTTATATCGCCTGGACAAAAATTTTGAATCGATCAAAGAAGGTAAGTTGGTATAAAAAATTTTAGTTGTGATTTTCGGTGACCGGGACATTTCTAGAAGATTTAGAAAGATTAATTTATATTTTCTTAAGAACTGATTGTATTTGCAGGTCATATACCACTACATGAGGCTTTCTTCGCTCCCGAACGATTACTATCAGAAGGTGGAATTGATCCTTTGTTGCGGGGATTGTTCGCAATGCCCATGAAGACTCCCAAGGCACAACAATTGGTAAACAAGGAACTGACGCATAAACTATTCAGCCGTGTAGAAGAAGTATGTTGCAGTTTGGTAATTTATGAAATATTATTATTTGATACGAATATGGCTTATAACTGTTTCAGCTAAGTACTGGAATATTAGATGGGTTGCTCAATTTGATGAAATTGTTGCATTGATGTTGTTCAAATTTAATATAAATTATGAAAGCCTGTCTGATATCGACATCAAGATATTTTATCATATTTTAGTCCATGTACGATCTGGCAACAATCAACATCCAACGTGGCCGTGATCACGGGTTACCCGGGTTTGTCCAATCGCTAATAATTTTGCTGGACGTGAGCTGAAGGCTGATTGAATGATGAAAGCGGAGAAATTTTACCAGATTCACAAAAGACTTCTACAATTTAATTTCCAAAATCTACATATTTTCAAAAGTGCGCTTTCCAAAGGAAGTGGGCTAAATGTTATCTTCTTATCTCCAGAAATCGGGCTAGAATGATACCATTTAACGAGATTAAGTTAGTTTATTACAATCCATTTTAGAAATCTACCATACTTGCCGTGAGACTTGATTCCATATAAAATTAAAAAACTTGATTTAGAAGATACTTTAAGGTATATTGCATTCCGGCGTTGGTGCAACTTCAGCGTTCCCGAGACATGGGATGACTTAGCGGATGATATACCGGACAACAATATACGAGCTAAACTCAAAGAACTTTACGGACACCCTGGTTAATTTCCACTTTTGAAATTCAAAATTAGTACTTGCAAAATTTCCAGTCCTTTAACTTTCACCTCTCAATAAGAAAAGAACTGCATATCCCAGCACTTTCCATTTCATAACTTGCCGCGAAGGAAAACAGGTGATTCATTGATGCTTGGATCGATCATTAAACAAATATAAAATCTCTCATATTTTCTAATTTCATGGTCCATCATGAAGTTTGAAATTTCTTCAGGCAATATTGATTTATGGGTGGGCTTAATATTGGAACGACGATTATCTGGAGCTTTGGTTGGGCCAACAATTGGGTGCATTCTTGGAGATCAGTTCAGGCGCTTACGTACAGGAGATCGTTTTTGGTTTGTTTGATTTTAAAAATGATTTTAAAAAAAAATTTAAGAAAAAAATTTTAAAAAAAAAGTTTAATTTTGATTTAAAAAAAAAGTTTAATTCTGAAAAATATAAAAAATAGAATGCTTCCTTTAATTTAAAATCATTTAAACGAATTCTGAGAATTCTATGATAATTGCAGGTATGAAAACGAAGGTGTTTTCACATTTTTACAACTTCAGCAAATTCGGAAAACAACGCTGGCGGCTGTGTTATGTAATAATGGCGATCACATTGACCGCATACAGGTATTCTTTGACAAGTTCTTCCGAAAATTTCTAAAATGTTTTTTCAGCCATAGAGGATCTCTTGGTAAACCAAAATTTTTAAATAGATTTATTTACTTTTAGAGGGATGTATTCGAGTACAAAGGGGACCGGTCCATTAAATTTTACGGAGACTGTGGGCAGATACCTCAGATTAATTTAAATGTTTGGCAGTCATGTTGCGAAAAAAGTTGTGCTTCATTCACCGCAGAGGAAAATATAGTCCAAAGCAGGTAAAAACCCATGCCATATTTTTGACTGATGTTTCCCAGGAAAAGGAATAGAATTCTCCACTGGGACAACGGTTCTCAATTAAAACGTTATAGAACCTTCAGAAAGCGAAGAGCACATAAAACGTATAGAAAACATACGTGTAACACTGATGATGAAATGAAAAGAGATGGCGATGTCTGGAAACCGGATCAGTGTACAACATGTGAATGCAAGGTTCGTTATTTGTGGATATACTCTCGAAAATCAACCATTTTATTAGAGAATTTTCTAAGTTTTGTACCTAACACTATTTTAGATTGATCAGATATGGTGTTCCGTTGAAAAAGATTGCAAAAAGACATCAATATAAAAGGATACAAAATCTTCCGAAACTTCTGTGCTTATTACTTTCCTCACGCATTGTTCTTTTACTCGACATAATTTTTGCAAGGATTTCATAAACTATATAAAATTGCATAACAGTCCCTTTGCCGAAGAAACATTTATATTTCACGATTATGTAAAAATACGCTCGATAAATCATATTTTACGTATGGAGGGAGTACGCGGATATACGACATTTCATTTACGTCAGCACTGCACCACACTATCCAAAACATCAAAAAAACAGAAGCGATATAAAAGACCCACACAATGTGTTATACTACTAGATTTCTTTAAATTTATAAAACTTCTGGAAGATTATCAAGCAGTTATAAAAATAATCTCCTTGAAAAACCGAAATTTGATAGAAATTTGATCTCAATTTACCATAAGAAATTCTTTTCGCATACATTAATACCTAGAAGTAGCTCAAAGTGGTGAATTACACTGTAATGAAATTCTGTAAAAGTATAATTACATTGGAAAATGAAGTACAGACTTAAATTCATGGTACAAATACCACTGGCGTATCCCAATAAGTTATTTACGACAGTTAAAGAGTGAACTGGAAAAAAGGCACACTGAAATAAAATATAGACTGGAATATAAAACAGAATTTGAACTATTATGAAAAGGAACAAATTGAACAGACATGAACAAATTACACTGTAAATAATCTCTCCATACATTAAACAAGCAGGAAAGGCTACAACACAGCTAGTGCAATGAAGTTCTACAACAGCATAATTTATGGTGGCAAAAGATAGTAGTCGGCAACAGCACAAAATCCCACAGCTTTGTCTAAACGTTCTAAATTTTTTAATTTTCAAGGAACAAAATTTCCTCGAGAAACAGCCAGATTTCATTCTCTCGTGACATATAGAAATGTGCAACAATTAGATATAAATTCCAGACATCTCAAGCACATCGAGATGAGTCTTGGCTGGCAACGACTAGGTGGTTCGAACATAAGTAATGTGATTTGAGCGAGAACTGAACGGAAGGTTGAACTGGAAACTTTTCCGCGAACTGAATAACGTCGCATTAAGCCAAGAAATGTACTATACCTTCAAGGACATTTTTTGTGAATTTATCAGTTTGTACTAATCAGCTGTGAAAGCATCACATCAATAATTTCCAAATAAAACTCAACTTAATCAATAAGTAATAAAACTCTTATGGAATAATACGCTTGCTGATAAATATATAATACATGCATGAGTTGCCGCAATAAAAAATGAGTCAATGAACGGCAGATGCCGCCTCATTACCTGTCATACTCATACCGCACATGATTAAACCAATACATGCCAAAAAGAACAAGCACTACTTCCCACTGCGTAAATTTCACCTATGCATTAGCGTCCAACTGGAACGACTGCAGCGAAATTCCTGCAGTGAATGTATCGAATGAAAACCTTTTCTCATCTAGTAATCCCTCTTTAGATTTCTCTGCTGTTGCTGAACATTCTGTCCCGGATAACGAACTCGGTGCAATTGTCCGGAACCATCCGCATTTACAACTCGCCCTGATGCTTTGTTGCCACGTTTAAATGCTTGTCTTTCACGATCAACTTCCAAATCTTCTAACCTATAAAATTTCGCTTTTTTAGAATTTCAGCTTTCTTTAGTGCAAAGTTTGCTTTAAAGAAATATAAAATATTACCTTTGTGTAAGAGCTAATTTCTGTTGAATAGCCATACGCAGTAGAGAATTCAGTGTGCGTTTTTCATCTTCCGCTGCTCTTTGATTAGCGGCCATTTCATCAACCTACAGAAAGGATTTAACAGAATTTTAAATTTAAAATCACCATGACTAACTGGAATCAAGCACTAAAGAAAAGATGTCATGCCTGCGCTTGAAGCTCTTCACAACGTGCTGTAAACATTGCTCGATGAGACGCAAATGTCGCTGCATCTTCTTTGAATGCTTTTAATTCGCGTCTTAATCTCTCCAAAAGCTCATGTGTCATTCCCTTCTCACTTTCATATTTTTCTTTCAGTGAAGCTAGAGCTGATTCAGCAGTAAGTTTGTTCGATTTCAGCACTGTACGTAAGGTAACGATTTGGTCCCTGTAACGACATATTTTTCCTTAATTTCATCACTTATTTTGCATATATTTTCTCTTTTACTTTTGAAACATTGACAATTTAAAAATAACCTTTTCGTAGCCAACAGAGAACGCAGCTTCATGTTTTGTAAAGTGAGTTCCTGGTGATCCTCATTTTCTACTCGTGTATTTAGAGCATTCTCCACTGTGCGTCGAACAATTTTTGAAAGTTCCGTAAGGCAATCTGATACTCGAAATACATTACTTTCACCTAAAATATCAAAATTTTCTCTGATTTTCTTTACCCAATATGCAAAAAATCGATGATCTCTATAAAAATTGAACTTAGAAAATCCTCACCAGGAACTATTCTTTCTCTAAAATCGCTTTCTGTTAATATATCATCCAGTCGGTCACAAACTAGCTCTTCATTAAGAAATTTCGCAAAGGACGGCGATATGAATTGCCGCTGCAAGTTTAACATTAGACGTGGCGAACGACCACTTTCCGTTTCTGTTCCACTTTCAACACCTTCGTCTAAAATACAATAATACAAAGCAAAACAATCTGACGCTCACATTTGTTTACTGATGAAATTAACTATTTGTTCCCCTAACCACTCAGCATCACACCAATTAAAACTATCTGAAAAATTTTCACGAAAAAAGGCAAAATTCCAACTAATCTTGTATGTATTCTTCACTTTCTGCATTTTCATTTGCATATTGCCTAAGTTTTTTCATTATTTCGACCGCATTTTTGTCAGCTTCCAGTCCATGTGTGGAAACCAATTGGTGATATAAACGATACAAAAAATCAGCAACAGCAATCATTAAATCCTAAAATTAGGAGAGAACTTTATATTAGAAATCGATACCAAGTCTTTCGCAACAAATAAAAAAATAAAAGATAAAAATACCTGAGCGGAAGCCAGTTTTGCTTGATTTTCACCTGCAACCATAATTGCAGTGTGCAAATCCGCTTTCATAAGGTCGTACTGCTTACCTCCAATACCTGCTTTGGATGAACTTTCAATGAGTTGCTCTATCTTTTTTAAAGCATCATCACACAGCTGCTTCAGTTGAGCATGATCTAAATCTGAAACAGAAGACTTCAATACAGGATATTTCTTTATTTACAATCAAAATAGCAGATCCATCAGTTTATTTTCATAGAGAGGACCCTTATAGGTTTTGAATGTTGCTAAAAAGAGAATGCAAAAAGTGCTGAATGTTGCAACTGACCTGGTGTACTCATTACTTCAAGTTTCTTCAAAACAGGAATAACATAACTGACATCCTTTTCCGTTTCTTTTAATTTTAATGCAAGCTGATCATTTTTTGTTTCTAGCTCAGCTAATCGTTCCGGCATATCACCATGTATTTCCGAGAATAGATCAATACCTTTTGGTGGCCTATTTTTACTGAATTCATTGGAATCCGCAATAAACGATGATTCGAACTGCAAAATATAAATATGCCGATTCTTCAAAATCAAATCTTAAGTGCCAAAACACAACACTTTTCCTACAATTTATTTGCATAGCGATGATAAATTTCAATTTAAAGAATCCGAAAAAACAGTGCACCTCTTTAAGTGCTTGAGAGTCATCCTCATTATTGTTTTGCAACCCAAATAGCATTGTATTCAACTGCTGTAAATGTTCCGCATTTCGCATTAACTCCAGCTCCTTTTTATAAGCTAATTTTTGATCACGTTCTTGCTGCACATTCAATAAAGCATCCTCAAGCTGAAATAAACAGAATTATAACTCGCCTTAGCTAAAATATTGCTTATAAATAAGCACTAATACAATTACTTTGTGTCGGAAGGGAGACTCAAATTTAAATTTTGTAATCACATTACAAAGTGACGATACCACGAGTTGACATATGAGATCAAATAATTATAAACATTAATATTGCACCAAATCAGTAAACAAAAAAATTTGACAGTTTGTTATCGTTAATCTTCTTGTATGGCTATAGTAACGTTATAATCGGGAAAACACGGTACATTGAAAGTGGCTTAGATCAGTTGGTGATTCAGTGAATGGAAGATAAAAACCAATCGTACATGTTTTTGGGCCACAATAGTCAACTTGTTGGCTTCTTCTTTGTCTGCCTGCAGTTGGTCGTTTTCATCCATCAAACGCTTCACTTCCATTTTCATGGATTCAAATTCTATTTGTGCACTGCGCAAATTTGATAACTAAAAAATTTCGTCAAAACGAAAGTGTAATATAGAAAGCTCATACTACTAAATATCACAAACACAATTATGAGCCGAACGATATAGAAACCTGTTTCTGAAGGCTAATATTTTCCTCTTCCAGTTCAGAATAATCATTTAGCAGTCTTTGTTCACGATTTTTAAATTCTTTTAAATCTTCCCTGAGCTGTCGCTTTTGTGTGTCAAGATCAGATGCTGCTTCCGAAGCATTTATATGTAATGTCTGCAATCTGTCAAGATCGGTACGGTACCTGTCCACTACCTGGAAATATTGCATCCGATTACTGGAACAATCTACTCTACGGATAATAAAGTAAATTATTCAGAAGAGTCCGATGCAACCACCTAATAAAATATACAAAATTTCATTATACTTTACCACATCCCTAGTCACAACTACAATAAATTTCAACCATAATTTGAAAAAAACTTTACATGCTGACAATTTTTCAAATCTGTTTCTAAGGCTGCAATCTTGGCTAGATATTCCTGCTCTCGATTCATCGTCTCTTCCAACAAACTTTCTTCATGATCGATGTCTGACTTTGCAACTGATTTTTGTTGTGATTGAAACTGTGCCAACGCCTAAGTATTTTTTTGTAAAAATAACATCTAAGAATAAAACGGGAATATATAATATTTTTTCATCTAAAAACCATGGATGACTTTTTAGTGTGGGTAACTAGTCCTTTTTACAAATTAATTTCAATCTCAGTACTCACTTTTGAAGATAGTGGCAGTCGATGATCGACAGGCCACAGCAAGATTACTTAAAATGGAGTGAAAGAAGTAACCACTGCATCTTGTTAAGATATCCTGAAGATATATGAAAGAAAAAAGTAAAACACCAAACCGAAAGTTACCTTTTTTGTAGCTTCGGCTTCTGCTTTTGCGGTATCATATTGTGTTTGCAGCTGAGTAAGTTTGACTTCAAGCTGTTGTTTCTCATCTAAAACTTGTAATCCATATTGAGCTGCCTGAAATAAAGGAGTTCAAAATTTAGTGCAACGAAAAGTAGAAACTCAACAAATCAAATTTACAAAAATAACTGAATAAATGCAGCACTTATAAGTTTAACTTCCGCAAATGATATGAAAAACAAACTTTGATTTTATCAGAAGAAGCTTCTTCAAGAGCATTCGCTAATCGTGATACTTCCGCCTTAAGTTCGTCCAATTCCATTAAATATGTTTTCCACCAGGTCAAATCCCAAATTCTAAAAGCATTGAAATGCGAGATTTAAAAAGAGATAGGCCTGGTTTTTCATATGCGTTATGAATAAAAAACAAAAATATAAAGACGCCATCAGTAGTTTTTTTGCTTTCTCCCTTTGTTCAGCGTTCAATACCACTAAAAACGCATTGAAGTAACTGGAGGATGGATTTCTGAATAATTTCCTAGTTGTAAAGAACCACTCTAGGGTAAGGAAACAAAAATGAAAAAATAAAAACATGATCATCAATTCTTTTCAGGCAGAAAGATATGCAGTTATGGATTCGATGAGCTGAGAGGAAAGATGTGTCCGCTAAAACGTAGTGATTTAGTCAGCTTCTTTCAAGTATTTATTTTTAATTCCAACACAAATATAATTAGGAAATGGAAAATGAAAAATGTATGCAATTATATGACTTTACATTTATAAGTGGACTATGTAGAATTCGAACAGATAGAGCTGCAGCTGTTACGTTTTTTAAAGATTTGTGGGGATCATTCGCTACAACCTATTTATTGACAAAACATTCCTGTCTTGAATAATATCAGCAGGCATCTAACGACATGGTTAAACAAAACGGCTCGACATCCAGCACTGTAAGGGTCGTATACGATCTATTCTGCAAGTGAGTTATGTCAATACCGTAAGAAGAGTACTCTAAATGGACGGAAAGTTCTAAAAAATTCATCGAAACTAGGCAAACATATCGTAGTTCTTCACAATGCACAACTTTAAAATTTTTGAGACAGAATTGTTGCAAAAGAAGCTAATTATAGGAAACTGACTTAAACAAACAACTATTTAAGAACTTTTCACACGTTCGTTCAGTTTTATGCAAATATCATTCTAAACTCCATTTTAATTAACTCCAATCTTGAATGACCTACAAAATCCGATAGTATTTAAGAGGATGCAAAGGAGACGAATGAAAAAGCAAATGGTATAGCAGTAGAACGGAAAATCTTGGATGTTTAAAAAATTTGTGTAGAAAACGAGAAATCCTTCGAAATAAGTAACTAAGGAAGGATGACTATACGGTTGCTTTCTGACTAGCTATTAGTGATAATGAATGGAAGTGACACAACATTATAATACAGTTTTTATACAAGCAATCAGCTAGATTAGTCATCTTGTTAGCAGAAAGAAATAAGAGATTTCAATTAAAATGCAGCAGAGAAGGAAAGAGATGAAGTGTGGAAGGTTCGAAGTTGTCAAACATGAAGGAGGGGAGGATCACTGCGCGAACGAGTGAGAGAGGAAGAAATAGACTGAAACATTTATCGGTGACAACGATTAAGACTGAGCAGCAGCTGTTGCTTCACAAAATGGATGCAGCACAATCACTAATTGCTACTGATCAACAAAGAAATACAGCTCCTCCTCAGCCACTTTACTTTGAACCATGCATCAACGTATCAGCAATCTGAAATGTTATACTGATTTCCACAAAAGAACATCCGAAAAATGAAGTAACCCTATCCTATGTTTCAAGTGCAGCGAGTGGTTTCTACGACGATTCAAAAGCAAATTCTGGTCGTTAGAACATTTCTTCAGTTACATGGATTTTTGCATTGCTTAAAATAAACAGTTAAAAATAATTGTTTCATTCGTTGAGAAAAAATCATTTTTTGTAAGAATAAATGACGTAAACACTTCGGCTATAACTTTGAAAGTACTCTGCGAGTGTGAAAAATTTTATCAGAGGTAGAAAGATAAAATTTAAACTAAAGAATAATCTAAATAATCTATAGTTGATGTGATATAACATCTCAACATCAGTGATATTAAATATAAAACCAGATGAAAGAAAGATGCACTTTCTTTTGCACCCTTCGTAATCAATAGTATAAATGGAAAGAGACAGTACAAAACTCTTCGCTTTAATTAAACCACCAATGTGAGTTAAGTTTCTGAAATTTGTAGCATTATCGCATTTGTGAAGAAAATTTGCAGAGAGTTTCAATGAATTTCGGAGATACATACTCAATGCCTCTATCCTGAATTTTCATAAGAATTATTAATCACTATGCCTCATATCCAGATGCATCTTCCAAAAGAAGTTGAAAACCGGTGGCAACATATGACTGACCTGAAAGGCAACACGCTTCATTCAAATGTCACATTCTTCGTAACAAAGATAAGAAGTCATAAACAGTAGGATGGATAGAAGAGTTCAGAAATGAAAATATATTTCCTTCAAGAAAACACTCATATACATACATACATACACATACTACGGCATTATTCACACACACACACACACACACACACACACACA